AGATCCATAGTTGTGCCCATTCCAAAGAAAGGTGACCTCACAGAATGTGAAAATAATTGGACAATATCATTAATATCACATATAAATAATATGATGCACTTAATTTACTTGATATGGCTTTTCTATCCAAATACTTCTTAATTTCCATCAAGTGACTGGATGGGACCATGCAAATAAGGTATAAAAAGAGTCTAAGGTTGAGGATTATTAATTTTGCCCTCCAGCTAGGTTTTTAAAAGGAACCATCTCAGAAGCAGAGACTGAAGATCCCAGGAGTTCAAAAAGGAAAAGCATGAGTGACATGTGAGATCCCTACCAAGAGAAATAACAACTACAGAGGCGAATGCAGAGGTGATAGCGCAGGCAGTGGCATGAAAGACACAGCAGATTCAGGCTATAGGCCCATGGACTGAGTAAAGATGAATGCCTACAGGCAAGAGACTGGCTTGCAGAATGTGCCCTTTGGGCATTCACAGACTAGCTAAAAGAACTTGGTAAAACACAGGACAGAGGCCAAGGGACCACATGGCTGAGAGGCTGAAAACAAGAGTGAGATATGCCTGACTGGAGAACAGCTGCATCCTGAGTTGGTTTTGATCCTGAATTGTACCTTGTTCACTTCCCTAATAAACCACACAATCATGAGTATTGTTAAAAGCTCTGTGTGGCCATTGCAATGGACTATCAAACCCAGATGTGAAGCGAGAGTGCTATGGGAGGAATGGTTGGTGTCAGAGTAAGAAAAAGAAGATTGTAAGCATATCTGACCTCTGCTTCAAAATTGGCCTTGGGCTAATTTTGAATTTGATTCTCTTTCACCGTTGTGAAGTTAGACATGACTCCCACATAGTTTTAACAATAACAGTTTGCTAAAGATAATTCAAAAATGGTTGCAGCACTACATTGACAGGGAGCTGCCAAAAATTCAAGCCAGATTCAGAAGAGACCATAGAATGAGCGATGTCACTGCTAACATCAGACGGATCTTGAATGAAAGGAAAGAATACCAGAAAGGTGCTAACTTCTACTTTATTGATTAAAGTAACATAAGGTTTTAATTTTTTTCCAATTGTTTCAGTTTGTGATATATTGAGTGTATTCTTCCTGTTTTGGTTTTCCTCTGTACATTATACTTTACTCTGTCTTCACAAGCTCCCCTTTGAAATCTTCCGCTACACTCTGTTACTTCATCATTTTTTCATTTTGTTATAGTTAAAGGAAGTCTCTTCTGATATCTGGTCTTTTCTTTCTTTCCTGTCTTTTAAATAGCCTTTTGCTTTCTTCATGTATGATGACTGTAATAATGGCATGAAGATGACATCTGACTTCCTCTAACTTCACAAAGGGAATGAAAAATCAAAATCAACAGCCTAAGGTCAAGTCCTATGAGACAGAGGTCAGGCAGAGGTAGCATATGTTCAAGAACCAAAGGTTTGGAAAAAAGAAGTCCAAACTTCATTAAAGGTATTGTAGAATAAACAAGGTTACAAGAACTTATGGAATACCAATTGAAATGTTTCAATAAAATGAAGCAGTTCTGGACGCACTCACTCATTTAAGCCAAGTAATATGGAAGACAGCTACCTGGCCAATTAACTGGAAGGGATCCATATTTCTGTCCATTCCAAAAAAGAGTTACCCAACAAAATGTGGAAATTGCAGAACATCAATACTAACAAAATTATGCTGAAGATAATTTTAAAATGGTTTCAGCAGTACATCAACAGGGAGCTGCTAGAAATTCAGCTATAAATTTGTTCTATACCCTTGTCAATATCTGATATTGTCAGTATTTTCACTTTTAGCTATTTTAGTAAAAATGTAGTGGCATCTCATTATACTTAAAATTTACATTCCTCTAAAACTACTTTTTCATGAATACGTTTTATGAAGTGCTTACATAGGTCTTCTGCATTTTGGAAATGGACTGTCTGCATTTTTCTTACTGATAGGAGTTCTTTGTGTTTTGAATTAGTACTTTTATTTCAGTAGTATGCATTAAAGTATTTTCTTCCACTTTTCACTTTCATTATGTTTTTTGATAATGAAAAGTATTAATTCCAAGGAAACCCAACTCATCAATCTTCTATGACTAGTGTTTTTTGTATTCTGTTTAAGAAAAATTTTCCCTTCCTAAGGCCATGGATGTATTCTCTTAGGAGCACCATTCTTTTAAATTTCTCTTTTAGGTCTACAAGCCAGTTCAAATTAATCTGCACATAAGAGGTAAGGTTAAGGTTTATTTTTAATATAAGGATCCAACTGATAGAGTACCATTTATTATAAAGATAATCCATCCCCTCTTGAACTGCAGTAGAATCTTTGTTGTAAATCAGGTAATAAGGTATGTTTCTGGAGATTAATTTGTTGTATTAATCAAGCTGATAATTCTTATGCTGATAATACACTGTCTTAATTACTTTAACTTTACAGCAAGTCTTGTTATCTGATAATAAGAGTCCTCTCCTTTCTTCTTCAAAGACTTCCCAGAGTCTAAGGCATAAAATACAAACTTTGCATGATATTTAAGGCCCTACTGTTTGTTGAGACTTCAAACTTTTATAATTAACTACAGTGTTTGATGGATTCCTGGTGTGGCACTGTAGGATCAGCACTGGACTGAGAACCAAAAGGTTGGCAGTTCAAACCCACCAGCTGCTCCTTGGGAACCCCATAGAGGGTTGCTATGATCAGAAACAACACGATGGCACTTAACAACAACAACAACATAGAGTTTGATACTAGCAATGTTGTTGTTGTTGAGTGCCGTCAAGTAGGTTCATACCCATAGTGACCCTGCATAGGGTTTCCAAGGAGCAGCTAGTGATCTTGAACTTCTGACCTTGCAGTTCAAGCCAACATTGCAGTTTAGCACATTAACCCACACTGCCATACCAGGATTTCGAGATGTGCAATGGTGGTGGTGTGCTGAGGAGTCGGTTCTTACTCATAGCAACCCTGTATAGGGTTTCTCACAGAACAGCTGGTAGTTTCGAACTGCTGACTGTGAGATTTACAGCCCAACCTGTAACCACTATACTACCAGACCAGAGTTCCTAGGAGGCATTAAATAAATATGAGGAGGCTTCAAAAAGTTCATGGAAAAATACAATAAAACAATATTGGAGTTTTTCCACAAAACCTTTTTGAAGCTCCCTAGTATATGCTAATATGAATTTAGCTCCATTAGAGGTTCAAAACTTATGAACTTTTAGAGTAACCATAAATAAAGTAAAACAGTAATGCTACCACTCTATAGCTTTGCTATGAAATTGGAAGGTGCAGATCTTTATCATAAAAAGTTATAAAAACCACTTTATAAAAATCTCATGGAATGGGGAAACATGAACAAAATGTTGATGGTGATTCTGTACTTTTTAAATTCCATTAAACATGATATCAGGTTTCTACCGGCAAAGCGTGTAAGCATTACAGTAAAGAAGAAGGAAAAGGTAAAGGAATAAGAAAGAATTGTTTTAAGATGAGCTTTTTGTCGTTTGTCACATTAGCATTCAGTTTTCAGACTAGTTATGAGGGGTTCTCAGGCACACTGATGTAGCATTCCCTAAGCTGGTAATTTTAAAGATGCTCAAATTTTGAGAAGCTATTATAGAAGGAAAAGAGAGCATGGCAGTTTGTATAGTTATCTAATCTGTAGTTCTGCTAGTGCTGCTTAAATTGCTTTGCCAGGAATATCACTGTATTTCATGGCTGAAACAGATTTTCTTTCACCTTCTTCTCTCTCTTTTTTTTTTTGGAGTATAGAGAAAACAATCATTTTCAAGTATGCTTGCCAAGTCCTACAATACAGAAACGACTGGTTAACACTCTGAATTATGATTCAGTAATATTATATTTGATTAGAAGGCTAGCAAAAAAAAAAAAAAAAAAGATCTTGAAGAAGGTTTCACTAGGTCTCTCTAAATATTCTCTATCTTACAAGTATACATTTAACTCAAATCATGAAAATACCTTTAATTTGGCTTTCTTTTGAGCCTCCAGAGCAATCTTTCTCAATTCCTCAGTCTCTTTCTGTAACTGTTCATTTTCTTGCTGAAGTTTCAGTCTCTGTTCACTGACAAATCCACAGTTCTCTCTCTCAGACTCCAACACATTTTGAAGTTTCTGGATCATTTCTTGGCAACGTGATATTTCTTCTGAGGAACTGTATGAAACACAAAACAAAAAGAACCCTTACACTTACTTAATGACCTATAATAAAAGTCAAGATGTCTATATTTATTTTATATTATAGACCTTGCTTTCTTTATTCTGAGCCATTTCTCTTCCATTTAAATAAAAATTTTGTGATTTTAAAATATGTTATACTATGCAAATATAATAAATGTAATAATCCTTCAAAATAGATAAATTGAACTGCTTATCATTTACCTAAAAAACTATGTGAAAGTTTCAAACTTTACTAACAATGAACATCACTGTGTACAAAAGATTTTAAGGGGACAGAGTGAAGCTGAGAGCAAAAAAATTAGGCAATATCAAAACTCCTTTACATCATCAACAAATTCCAAGGGGAAACACAATAGTTGAGTACATTACTAAATAATAATGGTAGGATATACTTTCATATTTTCTTCTCACATGCCTTAGAAATGGATTTCATAAACTCTAGTTGTTTTATCAAAGGTTGCTTTAATAAACTACTAGTTTTTATTCCTATCTTTTCAAGCTCAGATAATTAATCACTGTGACTATTCCTTAGTCAGTAGGTATAAGTAGAATTATGTTTCATGGTCAAAAGATATCACAGGAATACATATTGTTATTAATGCTGGGTCATTTTAAGAAAACTAGTGGTTAAATACGTCTCAGAAGCAGAGGCATTCTGAAATTAAATGTGTACATGGTGGCAGTTTTTACCATCATTAGTTATTCCTTTACAAGTATGAACCTACTTTAACACCATAATGCTCATGCTTTCTTGGCTTTCCTGCAACTGTTGAGTTTCCCAAATCTGCCAATGTTTCCACGGTTAGTGAGTGATTCTCTTACCCTCTGCTCTGACTTCCTAACTCCTACATTCTTATAAATTCTAATTCCTAAGTTAAATCCTTTATTGCTATATTGCAGCTCTTATCTGATCCTCTATCTCTGCCCTTGTAGTGCTTTCCATATTCTTTGAAGTTCTGATTTCTATATTACATCCTTTATTCCTATATTGCAGCTCTGTTTTTCTGTCTAAATACTGACTGATAAGGTTCTTACTTAAATGATAGATGTAGACAATGATCATCAACGGATGCAAAAATCAGAAAGGAGAAACAAACAATATATTGTTGTTAAGTGCCATAGAGTCTGTTCCAACTCTGTGCCCACCTCAAAGAGAGGTGACCCCAGAGAATATGGAAATCATAACACAGTATCATTAATACATTCAAGTAAAATTTTGCTAAAGATAATTCAAAATCGGCTGCATTACTATATTGACAAGGACTGCCAGAGGTTAAAGCAGGATTCAGAAGAGTACATGGAACGAGAGATATCATTGCTGACATCACATGGATCTTGGCTGAAAGCACAGAATATGTTTACCTGTGCTTTATTGTCCATGCAAAGGTTCTCAACTGTGTAGCTCATGAAAAGCTATGGAACACATTGTGGAGACAGAATTCTGGAGCACTTAATTATGGTCATGAGTAACCTGTACACAGACCAAGAGGCAGTTGTTTGAACAGAACAAGGTGAAACTGAATGGTTTAAAATCAGGAAAGATGTGTACCAGGTTGTATTCTTTCATCATACTTATTCAATTTGTATGCAGACCAAATAATCTGAGAAGCTGGGTTATATGAAGAACATGGCACCAGGATTTGAGGAAGAGTCATTAACAACCTGCAATATGCAGATGGCACAATGTTGCTTTCTGAAAGCAAAGAGGACTTAAAATAGATATTGATGAAGACCAAAAGACTACAGCCTTCATTATGGGTTGTACCTTAATGCACAGAAAACAAAAATTCTCACCACTGGAACAATAAATAACATCATGACAACTGGAGGAAAGATTGAAGTTGTCAACGACTTCATTTTGCTCAGATCAACGATCAACACTCAGGGAAACAGCAGTCAAGAAATCAAACAACGTATTTCATTAGGCACATCTGCTGCACAAGACTTCTTTAAAGTATTCAAGAGCAAAGATATCAGTTTGAGGACTAAGGTGCTTCTGACCCAAGGCATGGTATTTTAAATGTATTTTAAATGCCTCATATGTATGTGAAAATTGGACAATGAATAAGACGATTGTAAAATAATTGATTCATTTGAGTTATCGTGTTGGAGGAGAATATTAGAGGTACCATGGACTGTCAGAAGAACAAATAAATCAAATCTGTGTTGAAAGAAGTACAGCCAAGAAGCTCCTTATACGCCAACATGACCAGACTTCATCTGTCACACTTGGGACATATTATCAGGAGGCACCAGTCCCTGGAGAAGGACATCATGCTTGGTAAAGTGGAGAGTAAGAAAAAAAGAGGGGACACCCCCAATAAGATGGATTTGCACAGTGGCAGTAGCAATGTGTTCAAGAATAGCAGCAACTGTGAGGACAATACAGGACCAGCTTGCGTGGTGTTTCATTCTGTTGTACATAGGGTTGCTGTGGGTCAGAAACAGACTCGATGGCACCTAACATTCCCTTAATAAACTAACACTGGTTTTACGCCCTGGAAATGTAAAGCTGATGGGCTAGTGTAAATACAGAAAAAGTTATCAAAGAAAATTAAAAGAAAAACTTACGTTATTTCTAGTTGTTTTATTCTATTTTCAGCTGTCTTAAGTCTTAACTGAAGATCATCTTTTGAACACTCTGCAACCAGACATCTTTGGTGCATTGCTTCCAGTTTTCTGTAATCACTTTCATTTCCTCTGCCTTCACGATATATCTATAGAAAAGGTATATATGCATATTACCTTACAGAAGGAAATTTCCCTAATAAATTACTAAGATTAGAAATGAAAGCAAGTTATGACTTAAAAAAACTATAGAATAACACCAATGATGATATTTTTTAAATCTATTTCCACTGTAACCTATCAATAATAAAATTTTGGTTGTTTCTTATTTAAAATGCTGAAAATGACATATACAATAATAATATCTTACTTTTAAAAAAATATATATATATATCCTTGCTTAGAATGGGATGCTATTCAAACAAAAGACAAAGTGACTGAAATTTTTAAAAAGTACTCAAATGCTACCAGTTTGAGATTATCACTGTTGATTCTTTGATGTACACCCTGCAGACAATTCTCTTATGTTAATATTAAATAATACATACAAATACTACGTGTATAACATTAGCTAACTGAAAGTGACTGCAGAATACCACTCTAGGTTACCTGGACAACAATCTGGCTGTGATATTCACCAGTAGGAGCAGTTATACACAACCTCAGCTTCCCATGAGATTGAGTTTCCTCTCAGGGGCTACAGCGTCTCCAAGGACTAGGCAGTTCACATTTTCAGACTACATAGAGCTACATTCCAAATCCAGACTGTCTTGCCAAGTAACCTGTGTCTTCCCCCTCTGATAAGATTTCTTTGTTATTCCTGCTTTATGAAAAGAGAAATTATCAGCATGCCACTGTTCCACTAATGGAACACAGACCCACACTATGGTTCCAACAGTATCAGCAAGCTTGTTTGGAGGACAATGGGATAGTAGGGACCTGTGCCTTCTCTTCACCTTCAATTTTTAGCCTTGTAAGTTTTTCACTTATCCAATAAAGCTTATTCCTTCACTTATGCCATGTAGTATTATACAACTCATCCTAAATGCTACTGTACAGCAGGTGGCTACCTAAGTTTCACCTGATCGACTGAACAAGGGATTCATATGCAGGAGAGTGGCAACCAAAGACCTTCCTTTGAACACAGAACATAAATATTTTTCCCCATAAATGTGACTGTATGCTGTGTCTTGCTTTGTAAATTATTTTTTTATTAACTAGTGTTGTCATGATCTTTCCATGTCAATAATATAGATACATCATTTTTATGTCACATAGCTCTTCTTTGAAAACAGAATTCTGTCTCTACCATTTACTATTTTCGAACGTTAACGTCTTTGTGAAAGTTCCCAATTTAGTGCCAAAAACATAGTAAGTGATCAATCAAATGTATCCCTTCTTTCTTTTTCCAAGGCAGTTTTTTTTTTTTTTTAAATGGGCTTATTGAACGTAAAAGTATATAAATACAAATTCTAAACTATAAACCACCGACAACAATTTTTCTCAAATATCAATGTGCTAAATATTTCTCCTATGAAATAAAAATGTATACTCGAAAGTTAAAAATCACATTAATATTAGATTTTTCTGGTTTTTTTATACTTGCTATTTTATAGATAGCTTAAACTCAGTGAGTTTAATCCATCTCAATAGAGAAAAAAGACAAAACGAAATTTATTATCACAATGAGGCTGAAGCAAGGAACAAAGCAACTTTATAAGTTTTAGACTTTTAAGTACAAAGTTCAAAGTCTGTGGCTACTCTTGAAAGAAAATGTATGCAGACAATACCAGTAATTAAATGCAGACCCTGAACATATTCCAAAACAATAAAGACACTCACCAGGAGAATACTTATAAATAAAGGGGTTGTTAGTAGACAGTGTGGTAGAAGCTGACAGTAAGGCTGAATATTTGCAGTTGTGTTTTAGGTAGGTGTTTTTCCTTTTTCTTTTTACCTTTTCTAGCTCTTCTTCCATTGCTTTTTTCTCCCTAAAAGCTCGTTCGAGTTGGCCTTGTTTTTCGGCACACTCCTACAAATTTAAGACATGTTGTAAATAAATATGTATGATAAAACCTTAAAAAGAATAAGAAAAAAATGGAGGAATGCAATTGTTTGTAGAGGGAACACGCTGATACAGTAAAGCAATATGGGCTAAAAAGACAAAGAAAAAAAAGTTCAAGCTTCACAATGAGCTACATATCACAGGATTTCAGAAATTGCTTCTACTACATGATATCAAGGCGTTCTAAATGATCAGACAAAGTGGGTGACAGAGGTTGAGGGAATCCAGGGAAAAAATAAATAAATAGGAGTCCTTTTGCTATGAGATTTATGGCAACAGGTTGTTACACTACAGTTTTTCTTGTCATATATTATTATTACATATTTTGAAACAGGAACAAACATCCTAATGAATTATCTGTGCTCCTTAAGCCCTTAGGTACATGAATGTACAAACATAAAACCATCTAATTGTTTCTTTGCAAAACTTACAAACAGCCAATGAAATTACTACTTAAAATGTTTTATAAGAATGAACATAAAGTATTTCTTCCGCAAAGGTTTCAATCTGAAAATTCAGCAAGTATATCAACTAATCAGTAAAATAAACATTTCATAATGAGAATAAAGCAAAAAACTATAATTCTTACTCTTCTCATGTTTTTTAAGGTATTTGTAAAAAATTTTACAAGAAGAGAGGTGTTGTTGTTGTTAAGTGCCACCAAGTCAAGTTTGACCCTGCATAGGGTTTCCAAGGAGTGACTGGTGAGCTTGAACCGCCGACCTTGCAATTCAAATGACTTTGCAGTCTGGTGCATTAACCCACAGCGCTACATAGGAAGACAGTAGGTATAGCTATTTTCTACTAATTGTGAATTATGCTTTACATGAACACGCATTGCTGATAGCACGACTACTACTACTATTACTGTTACTACTGGGTGTCACCATAGTGATTCCGATGCACAGTGACTCCGTGAGACAGAGAACTGCCACATCCCGTTTTCTTGGCTGCAATCTTTATGGAAGTAGACCAAGTGTTTCTCCTGAGCACCTGCTGGGTAGGTTTGTACCACCAACTTTTTGGTTAGCAACTAAGGCCATGAAAGTCAAATACCCTTATCAAATGTTATTTTATAGAAGTAACATACTTCAGTATGTTCTTCTTCTTTTTTTCGTTTCTTTTGTTGTTCTTTCTCTTTTTATTGTGAATTGTGTGACGGTTTACAGAGATCAGTTTCAATATGTTCTTATTTTTAAAATAAGTTTTCAAATTAAGACCCCAATTTAATCACCTTAGATAATAATTGTCTTTAACCTTTTGCTATCAATAAGACAATTAACTTATATTTTTATCCTTTATTAAGATATGTTCTTAGGATATAAAAAATACATCATACATATTTCATATATTTTCAAGTAGTAAGCTTATAACCTTTGACAAAGTATTCTTATTGTGTAAAATTTGTGACTTCTATGTTTATAATTTCTCTCATGTGATTTTTAATACAGATACAATGAACAAAATTGTATCATATTTCTGGGTCTGGCCAAATGGGGTATAAATGAAGGTGTATTATAAATTATGTTATCTATCCCTTTCACCCAATCCACCATATCATTGCCAGTGATGACAGTTGAAAGGATATTTGGTTAACCTGAGGTAACAGATGTACAATGAAACAGAAAAGCTGAACATTTTCAAAAAATACACAATGGTTGAGTACTCAGCTGCTAACCAAAAGGTTAGCAGCTAGAATCCATCCAGTCACTTTGCAGAATAAAGACTTGGCAATCTGCTCTCATAATGATTACAGCCTAGAAAATGATATAGGGCAGTTCTACTCTACTCACATGTGGTTGTTATTAGTCAAAAGTGACTGGAAAGTACCCAAAAGCAATAACATACTCACTATTAAGCATTAAGGCACTGTGGGTTAATGCGCTGGACCACAAAGTGGGTTTGAACAACAAGGCTGGCGGTTCAAGCTCATCAGTTGTTCCTCAGAAACCCAATTCAGGGTCACTATGTGTAGAAATGGACTTGATGGAACTTAATAACACAACAACAGTACTAAAGCAAACATTAAATTTATAAAATTTTTATTAAAAATTATTATATAAAGTTTCCACAGATTATATTCATAAGCATCTATATTCCCTATCTTTTGGGAACTGTAACAAAAAAAGATAATTTAAGTACTTATAGAGCACTTCCAAAATCACACTACAGAGTGTACCATAAAGAAGTTTCAAGAAATAGTTAAGAATCAATATCATATAAACCATAAATCTGTGACCCCTATGTAACCAGATAAAAAGATGGTATAAATCCCAATGTACTTAGAAATTTTAAAATGATGGTGTTGTTCTTAGGTGCCACTGAATCGGTACCAACTCACAATGACCCAATGCACAACAGAACAAACCACTGCCCGGTCCTGTGCCAACCTCACAATTGTTGCTACATTTAAGACTATCACTGCTGTCACTGTGTCAGTCCATCTGGTTAGGGGTCTTCATTTTTTTCTCTGACCCTCCATTTTTTTTTTTAATTTGTAAATTTTTTTATTGTGTGATAGTTTACATGGGGGAACATTAGCTTTACCCTCATTCTATCATACATCGTTTCATTGCCATAGTTACCATCCAATCCATGCATCATCACCCAACCAAAAGTTATACCCCGCAGGCCACCCCCCCCTCCATCCACGGTTCTCAGCACAGAGCTCCCTTCCCTCCCAGGATCTCAAGTCCTCAGCCACTCCATCTCTTCATGTCATCCTCTCTATCTCCATCTCAGGCCTCATTGCTTCTCTGGGTGGGGTCCCGATCTCCGCTCTTCTCCAGTGATAGTCCCAGGGGCCTTTGCTCCTAGACTGAAAGGTTAATCAAACCCCTCCTTGCTATAAAATATCCACCTTTACCTTTCCAGTCCTCACAATCCGTCCTGATAACAATTATTCACCCTTGCATCATAAGAGACCCATTCGCATTTCTTTTCATCAGCCCTTCCTAGACAGGTTGGATATTACTCACTTGAGACTCTACCCTCCTCCCTCCCCGCCCCGTCAATCCAGGTTCCCTCTTGAAAGATTGCAAGCCAGTCACTTCTTACCTTTGTATCCTTCCCCCCCATTTTGGATAGCCAATGTTCAAGTTGCCCATCACTATACTGGACATATTGTAGCCCCTTTTTAGGTATTCCAATCAGTTCCAGGCAGAAGATGGACTTACAAGCTTTCTATGGTGGTATTTCTGGCTATTCCTCCCTCTACTCTCCTGTAACTGTTTTATAATATAGTGCATGGAAAAACAAGGTTCAAGAGTCAGCCAAGCATCTCAACATTATTCCCCCCTTTTTCCCATTCCAACCATTCTGACACTCCATTTTACCAAACATGATGCCCTTCTCCAGAGACAGGTCCCTCCTGGTAACATGTCCGAAATATGAGAGATGAAGTTTGGCCATCTTGGCTTCCAGGAAGCATTCTGGCTGTACTTTTTCCAACACCAACTGGTTTGTTCTTTTGGCAGTCCATGGTACTTTAAATAGTCTTCTCAAACATCGTAAGTCAAATGCATCAATTCTGCTTTTGTCTTCCTTATTTGCTGATCAACTTTCGCATGCATATGAGGTTACTGAAAATACCTTGGGTTAGGTCAGGCACACTTTAGTCTTCAAACTGACATAGTTGGGCTTCAGCACTTTAAAGAAGTCCTGTGCAGCAGATTTGTCTAATGCAATACGTTGTTTGACTTCTTGACTGCTACTTTCATGAGTGTTGATAGTTGATCCAAGCAAAATGAAGTCTTTGATAACTTCAATCTTTTCTTATCGTGCTATTTATTGGTCCAGTGGTTTTAAAACTGAGATAGTTTTCTGCATATCTCAGGTTGTTAATGAGTCATCCTCCTTTCCTGATGCCGCATTTTTCTTCATATAATCCAGCTTTTCATAATATTTGTGCAGCATACAGACTGAATAAGTATGGTGAAAGCAAACAACCCTGGTGTACATATTTCCTAATTTTAAACTATTCAGTGTTCTTTTGTTCAGTTTGAACAACTGTCTCTTGTTCTATATACAGGTTCCTCATGAGCACAATTACGAGTTCCAGAATACCAGTTCTCTGCAATGCTGTCCGCAGTTTCTCATGCAAACAATTGAAAGGCTCTGTATAGTGAAAACATCACAGATAAACATCTTTATGGTATTCTTTGCTTTTAGCCAAGATTCATGTGATTTCAGCATTGGTATCCCTTGTTCCATGTCCTCTTCTGAATCTGGCTTAAACATCTGGAAGTTTACTGTTAATGTATGGTTGCAGCCATTTTGAAAAATCTTCAGCAAAATTTTGCTTGAATGGGATATTAATAATATTATCTAAAGATTTCTGAATTCCTTTGAGTCACTTCTCTTTGAAATGGGGCCACTCCGAAGCAACACTCCCTCTTTTTTTTTAATGTTGTGAATTATGTGATCGTTTTTATGGGAGAACATTAGCTTTACATTCATCCTATTGTATATCATTTCATTGCCATGGTTACAATCCCCTCCATGCATCATCAACCAACCAAAGGGTATACCCTGCAAGTCTGCCCCCGGTTGTCAGCAC